TGGCACGAGGAGTGGGGGGCAATTGATGAGGGGTGATTTGGCCCGACCTAATAAGTGAAGGACATGTGGACACGACCTGCAAACAGGACAACAACTCAGCAAGGAGAGCCATGTCAGCAGTTCGGGATCTCGGGTGTTCGGGCACCTCGGTACCAAAGGCACTTCAGCACCCAAGTACTGAAGTGACACATAATCGACTCCAGAAGCTTCTCAGCGGACTCTGAATCTCTTGGGATCACACCATGTAACCACAAGCCTTACCCTCTCCCCGCCTGGATCGGAAGGTAACAATAAACTTCATTGACTAATACGTTATTCTCCTTCTAAAGCAGAACGGATCCCATCTATGCAGGCCAAGGATTCCGGAGTCGTTTCGTGAGACTGACAACAACTCAACTATATAAGGGCATTGACCCCCAAGACCCAGGTACGTGCGATTAAGTGCATTCTAGCTCTCCTATTTCTTAAACTCTTGGTTCACATCACAGTTACTGACTTAAGCATCAGAGCGACCTCATCGAGTTAGCCACTCTGGGTTCTCTGATCCTCATTTTCTTTGCAGTTCAAGCGACCTACTTGGCAACGGACGTCCGAGCTGCCCTACAGCTAGGAGCATCTCGATCGCGCACCATCAGATAGCCAATAAGCCAAATTATTCTATTCGTGCATATCTCTCTCTCTCTCTTATGTTTCAACTATATATTAAGGTTATATTTGGTTTGAAGAAAAGGTAGGGAAAGGAAGGAAAAGATAGAGAAACCTATACAAGGTTTATAAAAGTTTCCCTACCTTTCTCTTCCTTTCCCTACTTTTTCCTTCAAACCAAACACGATCTAAACGTTAATATATAATGATCAGTCCCACACATACTAACTTTTCTATTTTTAGGTTAAGGGGCTGTAGAAAGGGGTAGGCGGGTAGCCTCCTCAATACCCATATCCACCACAACCCTAGCTATTGACAGCGGGATTTGATTATTCACAATTTGAATAGTTGATCAAGTGACTCTAATATGTGATGTGGCAATACATTTTTTACCATTTATATTGATCAATCCAAAACATTTCAAATAATAACAACAATTACACCAAACACAACCATGATAATTTCATAGAGTTAGGCTCTAGTCCTAAAACACAGTCCCCACAATGTCCCAACAAGCCATTACAATGGTTTGTTGGAACTAGATCCGGACTTATTGGTGGAAGAAAATGCAAGAGATTGATTGAGGGTTTTATTAATTTTTAGTTATTGTTTCCGGTGGACAACATTAAACGATGACACTATAATCATAAAAAATAAAGAGAGGACACTAAGGTTTAGTTTTCTTGCACAGCAAATTTCATTTGCACCCGTTTGCAAATTGGCTATGCAAATTCTAGTGGTTTACCTTTGTTTCATTATTTGATTTTCTCTTATTTGTTTATATAAGATCAATTAAAATAAAAGTTGATGAGGGCAAATTTGGTCCTCCACTGACATCATGACACGTGGTATCTCAGAACAACTGGATGATACCTTGGCACCACGTAGATAATGACTTGCCTTAGCCAAAATTTTGGAGACCTGGCAATTACCTCCACCGACCTACCTCCGCCAACCTAGCGACCTACCTCCAGAGACCTAGCGATCTACCTCCACCAACCTGGTAACCTACCTCCAGAGACCTAGCGACCTACCTCCACCGACTTGGCTACCTACCTCGAGCGACCTAATGGAGACCCAGCTAGCAGCCTCATACACAACTTGGGCAACTCGACAGAGCGGCTAGCAGCACATCGTCCAAGGCCGGCTAGTAGTACCTTGTCATTACCGGTCCAAGGGACCTCGGCGAGCGACCTCCTCAAGGACTTTCCGACCTAACTGAGGTCTAGGTGGCGACTTGCGAGACAGGCTCGCCGACCTCTTCCTTAAGCAAGTTATTGTTTCCAACTTCTTCGAGACCATGACACACGACCTTACACCCGTTTTGTCGTATTGTCTGCATCGGAGTTGATTGAATAGACTCTATCCCTCTCCTCCGAACATGTTGGATGCAGTTTCTTGGGAATTTCGGATGTGTTACAAGAAGCTCCTGGTTCCTTGCACCTATATAAAGGTCTCATTTCCAATCTTAGATGGCGTGCACAATTTAGTTCTCATAGCTCTTTAGCTCTCTCACTTTTAGCTCTCTCAAAAATTTCCAATTCGCTGACTTAAGCATCAAAGTGCCCATCTCGGGTAAAGCAGTCCGGGCACTCTGACACTGTCTCCTTGTAGGTTACCCTGGTACACTACACAGCTCGGCATCAAAGTCACCTTCTAGTTTGCCATTATTCAGTTAGGCATCCAAGTCACATTCCAGCTAAGAATTGTCTAGCTTGGCATTCGAGTCACCTGCCAGCAGGGAGCTGTCAGATCGCGCACCATCAGAAGTACACTGTTGTAACCCCATGTTATGTGAATGAAAATGGAAGTAAGAGTAGAGATATGTCTTTGGTTGAAATATGAAGCAAGATCATGTGGTCTCCACTTTACATGAAAGATAACTAAGGTAAGTAAAAGGTGGTGCAAATTTTACATCAGGTTTTTGAGTTGCAAAATTTGAATTGCTAATAAGGCCATTGATTTTCTAGTAAGCCTCTTACCTAAGAAACACTTATTTGAGTAATTGCATTTATGTGCTATTTTGTTTTTGTAAGTATTTCTTTGATCATTATCATTTTTTTATCCATATAATGCAATTATTATAAGGGGCTGATTTTTCTTATGATCTCTGATCAAATTTTTATTAGGTGAAAAAGTTATTTATCCATATGGAAGATGAGTATCACTACTCTATCCGGATTCTTTATAAATTTGGTCTTCTCACTATCCTTACAACACTTCAGCCATGTATTAAAAACATCTTCCTATGAATGAAAACGTAGAAACACGGACATATTCTTAATGCATGGCTACAATTGTAATGAGGACGGTATAAGGACAAAATCCGATCTCATAACTACCAAGGGAAAAGTTGCCACAACCAACATGGAAGGGTAGATTAGTGTATGTAGAGTTTTTGGTTGCAAGAAATTAGGGCTCAAGTGTGTAAACCAAGTAATAGGGTTGAAGTGAAATCAGTTGGGCTAAAACCTGAAAAAATGGTCTTTGGGGATGCATGGTTGGGACCTCACCATAATATCAATTCAAGTCTTCAACCAATTCAAAATGGGGCCACAACAGTACATCGAGAGCTATGATTTATGTCATGGCTTTAGCATAAAACTGTGCCTATAGACATAGGAAAAAGAGGAGACAGCCCATAGTGTGTAACAGATAAATAATCAGCTACTTCCGTTGGAGTAGCTCTAAGCTAAAACTGGGAATCATGGCCTTTGATGTATTGACATGACCCCACCTTAAAAAAAATAAGATGTCCCACCGAGTCACTATGCCCAGATAACAGATTGCCTAGTCCAACAAGACACATTGCGCATAAGAATGGAAGTGGGGTAGGGTGGGGATGGGGAATCAGTCGTCATTGTCTTCATAAAAATTTCCATCCTTACCAATTGCTAWAGGTTTTCCTCGAGGTTGGGGATGATCATCAAAAACCCAAAAATCAAATAATCAAATAATTGACAAACTCAAACAAAAATTCCAATTAATCAAACTGATCATTATATATGTTTATGTATATTATATATTTTTATATTATACATAATATAGACAATAGGCCAATGATTATATTATCTATATATTATATAGATAATATAATTTTGATTCGGTGTCGATTCATGATTTTCTAAAAATTATAACCCCAATGTCCCATCAAAATAGGTCCAAATATATTTAATAATATTCAAATACATTCAATTGTGATCAACCAAAATTTTGAAATATTAATACAAATTTAAGAAATACTAACAAAAATAGGAAAATTTCCCATCCCTCCCTGGGGAAACTCATCCCCATCAGAACTATTTATGGATCAGGCTAGGCTTAGGTTGGCTTTGTCTTTGTATTTATAGAACACATTCAGGCCCGAGCCCAAATTCAGCCCGACCACTGGGCCTAGGTCTTATGCCCAAGTCCAACCTTCATATAAAGCTCAAAGGATGGGCCCGAACCTAAAGCTCATCTAGAAATTTGAAAAAAAATATTTTTCTTTTTTAATTCAATAATAATAGTTTTATTTATATTAAAAGACCTCAAAACCCAAAAAAAATAAAAGATTTTGCTGACTTGAAAAAGAGAAGATGAACAAAGAAAAAATATATTGTATGTGTGTCTATATATATTATATTTTTTATATAATATATTATCAAGTTGGACTTGAGCTCGGGCTCAGGCCGAATTTTTTGAGAAAGCATAAGCCCAGCCCGAAAAAGTTGGGCCTAGTGTTTTGGGCCCAATCTCAAGCCCACAAGCCTAAATTCATGTCGAAGCCCGATGTAGAATGAATTAGGCGATGCCAGACTGGCCCGTCGAGCTACTCGCATAAATAGGTCTAATCTTGAGAGATGTGTTGGATGTGCGCCTACTAGGTGTTGTGCACGGGACGTGGCCAACATTTTTTAGTCAACTAACCCGAACTTAAAGGTATAAGCACGACTTTGCGAGCCGGCCCATGCTTTAGCAAGTTGTGCCGTGCCGGTTCCCGTAGGTGTAACCGTGTAAGTGGGCTGTTATTGCTTCCTTTGGGATCACTAATAAGTCAAGCTCGGCACGGCCCATTACACAAGTCCAGGCAATCGGGTCCATCAGGTCAGACTCAATAACCGATCCGCTCGGTTTTGGGTTAAAAAGTACATGTCCTATTGGGTTCAGTTTGGTTTAGGGTCCTTAATATTTCTTGTCGACCCGATCCAATCCATTGACAGCGCTAGGCGTGGCCCATTCAAGAATCTAGCACTTTATTTTTTGAAGAATTAGCAAAATCCGAATACATTCAACCGTGGGACCCGATCAGTGTGCTGTAAATTTGTTCAGAAGGAAGATATGTGGTGGCAGACTGGCAGCCTTGTAACTGCAATCGCCTGTTCGGTTCCTGGTTTATGAATATTTTACCCACAAACCAAATGCGGCCGGTCGGTCGGTCGCCAAAAGAAAGAGAAAGAGATTCCAATCAAATCAACAGAAAATCGATCACCAACTGGTGCTTCAATTCTCTTTCCCTCAACTCCAAAAGAGAAAGAGAGAGATGATTCGAGAGCAAGCAATTCCTTATACTCTTCTCTATCGATCTGAGAGAGTCTGGGTCTCAGGGTATCGTTATCTTTTCATTATTTATTATTATTTCCTTTTATTTTCTTTCGGAAAACTCGATTCTTTACGAGCCCTATCCAGTCCATCTCATCGCTCCCTATCAGGGATAGGGTTCTCACTCTACAAAAGCTACGTCGATTCTTTGAGGTTTTTGCAAGTTTTTCCTTTCATATGTTGATCGACTCAGCATCAATGGATTTTGTCCAACTAGAGGCGATCGAAGGCCTTCGATGGTCTTGGAATTCATGGCCGGCTTCGAAATCCGAGGCTTCAGCAATGGTAATCCCTTTGAGCGTGATGTATACTCCATTGATGGAATTCAGCGAGCTTCCATTGCTTCCTTACGACCCTCTAATGTGCAGTTGCTGCGGCGCTGTTTTGAACCCTTACGCGCGCGTCGATTACCAGTCGCGGCTCTGGGTTTGCCCCTTCTGTTACCGGAACAACCCGTTTCCTCGTTCTTATGTTGGGATTGGAGAGAACAATATTCCTACAGAACTTTTTCCGACTTACAGCACCGTTGAGTATCATCACGGACAGAAAAGCTCAGGCCTTGGTTCAAATCTAAACTCGAACCCGACATGGGGTGGAAACAGTTTATCCTCGTCGTCCTTATCATCTTTGACGTCGTCTTCTTCTTCTTTAGTTTCTTCATTTTCTTCGTCTCCATTGCCTGCTATGGATTCGCAGGGCATTGGGCCTGGATTTGTTTTTGTCGTGGACACTTGTTGTCCGGAGGAGGAGCTACGGGCACTTAAGAGTGAGCTGTTACTTATTCTGGCACAATTGCCGGAGAACGCATTGGTTGGACTGGTAACTTTCGACTCCATGGTTAGTGTACATGACCTTGGTTTTGTGGAGTGTTCGAAGGTTGTAATGTTTCATGGTGAGCGGGAACTGTCATCAGATCAGGTACGCCTCTACCTACGGAAGCTGACGTTCTACTTTAGCATTGCTAGCATTGCATGTGTATAACTTTTTTGTGTAATTATATCGTTTCCAATTTCCTTTTCTTTTCATCTTAATCTTCGCTAACCCATAATCCACAATTGTCATTTGATCCATGAGTTGTTTTGCAAGTGAAATTTAAGTTTTACTCCAAGGTTTTTCTTGCGTATGCAATCCTTATGTGCAGGATCTATGAATTGCTAAAATTAGCATTTCTCTTTTGAACACTAACTCTTGTGTCGTAATTGAAACAACCCTTTGAAGTGACCCACATTGGAGATTTCTTATTTTGGAACTTAATGTAACAAGATATTGTGATGATCTCAGCCATCTAACCCGTGGGCCTTTTATTTTGAAAATCCAATAATGGTTTTGGTTCGTTTTCAAAATGTGCCCAGTCCTTTCACCCATAAGCTGTCATTGTAAAGAATATTGTGTGGGTCATGTTTAGGTATCTAATTGTATTAAAATTTCACCTGATTTATTCTACTTTTAGTTGAGGTTTGGTTTCCATCTTTTAAGGGTGTATAAGATGAGATCCATTGAATTTGTATTTCACATTCCTTACTGTACAATGTGCCTATATTTTTCTGTTTCTGGTCAAAGTTCTTTTCCACATTTTCTTATTGGTGAATGGGTAATTATTCTAGGCACAATATGGAGGATCTGTGCCTAATAACTGGGTCCCAACTTGGTGTCTTATATGGTCCTTTAATGTTCTGGACATCTCGAACTTGTTACTCTTCTATTTCACTTTCTAGAAGCAAGTTAACCACAGTTGATATGGTAATCCCTTTCATCCAAGATACAGTCAATGGCCATCAAATATTTGGACCATATATACTAAGGTTCCTTTTAACAAGATGGTGCAATAGAGATTTAGGCTAGTAAAGAAGCAAAAATGTCAAATAACCATGAAGCACTGGTTGCCCAAATTCTGATTTGATGTGCGTGTTTCAGGATCTGTGTGTGTGGGGGGTGGGGGGGTTCATTTGTTGATTATCTCATTACCTTTTTTTTTTTCAAAAGGTAAAGCATAGTATTTCATTATGTGTAGAAAAAGAAGCCCGTGTACAATAAGGGACTCTATATTGGGAACATACAACCAGAACAATCAGTTAAGCAGTATGCATATTTTTGTCAAAAAAAAAAGAACTATAAGGTATTCCTTGAAAAAAGTTTGAGGATTCCATGCCATGAACAAAGGGTGCCTGTGACCTGTTCAACACATCCTCTTCTGATTTGAATTTCCCTTCAAAGACTTTATTGTTTCTTTCACTCCATGGAATCCAAATGATTGCATCAGGACACATTCTCCACAACAATTTACCCTTTTTACTCAGCCCACTAAGGTGCCATCCACTAAATAAAGCCAGTACAGACTGGGAAGCATCCCAACACCCCAAATCACTTTAAAACAGCTAGCCATAAGGATCTAGAAAACTTGCAGCTCATGGTTGATCCAGGAGTTGTATCACTGCTACAACTTCTGCTATAGGGAAGTAAATTGGTGTGCAGACATATTTGCCTATCTTGGGTCTTCCCAATTTTGTTGTTTTAAATATTTTGGGGTGCCTCCTTCAGATGTGTACCAGTACTTATTAGCTGATATCAGAGGTCACATTTGAATGGAGGAATAGTAGAGTGTAGTAGGTTTGTATTTTATCCTCTGAATAAAAAAAAAAAAAAAAAGAAAACAGAACTTGTGGTCCAGAAATAGATGATTTACTGATTCATTCTTTTCAGAACAGAGAATACAGATGGGGCAATTTAAGAACACCTCTTTTCAACAGGTTGTCCGCTGTGAGATTTTTCTCCAAGGCAGCTGTCCAAATTTTAAGAACTCAAATTTTATCAGTAGGAAAGGAGCATGCACACTCTGAATTGGAGGAATAGGAAATCATTGACAAACAGATATTTTCATGCATTTTGCATTTTTGGCATTCACATTTTTTATCTTTATAAAAATAAAGATAACCATATTTTTAATCTTTATAAAAATAAAGATAACGAATTAAATATAATCTTGGGGGGGTGTACAGAATCTCAAATATTTTTTGCTTCAAGGATAGCATGGTGAAACTATATATTTGTCATTCTCTCTGAAAAATGATTAGGCTTTGATTTGAACTTTCTAAGATAAGCTTGTTGCCTTATCAATCTGAAATAGAGATAATTATCTATAAAAAAATCTGAACTAGAGGTAATACCCAAAAAATTGTACCATGGAAAGCACAAGAACTGCAACCACTATGTTGGTAATGGTCTTGAGCAAGCTGGACAGATTGGGTCTTTGGATTTCTAGGTTTGTATTCTATATCATGCTTACGTATTGTCATGCACTCATGCTGTAGCATCTTCATATGCTTAGTCTTTCCTTAGGTTGTGCTTTACCTTTTCAGAGATAAGACTGCAGAGCTTATAACATTGATTAATTCTTCTAATGGTGACAGGTGTTATATACATCGTGTTTTGTACCTTGGCATTTCAGCCAATGGTGTTTAAGGTAGAACCACAAGTAAGATGCACAACATTTAGGCACAAAACCTGTAGCATAGCATTACTTGAGGCATCTTAGTCACATTTACACCACTAGGTTCCACATAGGACAAACAAAGCAAGAATAGCTTCACAACTGAAGAAACATCCAAAAATACATTTCTTCAGCTGTGCTATGTTCCTTTTTGAAGTTGAAAAAGCTCTCACCATATGCGATTTTCAATTATTGGTGAGTGATGTGGCACTGATGTGATCCTGAAACAGAAATACAACACTTAAGTATATACTGTGATTTTAAAGTACCATTTGAATGTACTCAAATTCCTGAAATTAAGAGGAAACTTTATTCTTATCTCTCATCCAGGCAATCTTGAACATATAGGTGAGCTGGATGGCGACACTTAGATGTTATGTGACCCTCTTGAAGAGGGTTGATTTGTCCGAACATATTTGAGTGCATATGATTGTATGAATTAATGTTAACTAATTTAATAATAAGCTGCTTCCCTGCTAGATTTTTTTTTTTTCGGTATAGATGCCTTTAAATGATCTGTTTCCAAATACTTATTTTGTTTTGCTGAAACGGATGCATAAATAGGAGACACTATCAGAGAATGTTCTGGAAGTTGGTGTATCTTGAATATATTTATTTGTAACAGTGGACATTGAAATCCAAAGGCCTAATAACAATAGTTGATATTAGGATAAAGATAAGCTAGTATTACTTTCTGACTTGAAAAACTGGTGCCATGTTGCGTTTCTTTTTCACATGCTCATTTTCGTGACTGACTGGAAAGTTCACAAGTGCATTGCATACCACATTTCTCTTTTCCTGGAATAATATACTACTGATCTGTGCTACTCTTCACCTTCAGATCCAAGATTTATTGGGCATTTCTCGTTCTAAACATCAGCGGCTTGGAAAGGCATCAACCATCCACAAGCAGGGTTTTTTGCTTCCAGTTTCAGAATGTGAATTCAGCATCACTACTGAAATAGAAGAGATGCACTCCACCATGCAGGCTTTGCCTGGTCATCGTCCCAAAAGAGCCACTGGAGCAGCTATATCAACTTCAGTTGGACTTCTAGAGGGATGCTTATCTAGTACAGGTTCCAGGGTCATGGTTTTCACATCGGGGCCTGCTACTCTGGGCCCTGGGATAGTTGTAGATACTGATTTTAATAATGCCATACGAACACATCAGGACCTTATTAATGGTCATGCTCTTTACTACAGAAAATCTTGCAACTTCTACAAACGGTTGACACAGAGGGTATGTGATGCATCTATTGTTCTCGATTTGTTTGCTTGTTCTCTTGATCAGGTTGGGGCTGCAGAGTTGAAAGCCCCAGTTGAAAGCTCAGGAGGCTTCATGATGCTGGGGGAGTCATTTGAGTCAGATGAGTTTAAGAAAGGTCTACGACGTATTTTTAGCCATGATGCTGATGGCCACCTCAAGATGTATTTTGATACGACAATTGAGATAATAACCACAAAAGAGGTAATGATCTGTGGGGCTCTCGGTCCCTGTGTATCTCTCAGGAAAAAGAATAGTTTGGTGAGTGAGAATGAAATTGGGCAGGGTGGTACCAATTTGTGGAAGCTAGGGACACTTACAAACAAGACATGCATTTCTTTTTTCTTCGAAGTAGGTAATGATCAGAAAATCCAGGTGGGGTCTGCATTCTTCATACAGTTCATAACACGTTACCGGCACAGGAACATGCAAATCCGACAAAGGGTGACAACTGCAGCAAGAAGATGGGTTGGAAAGAGCTCACTAGAGATTGGTTCTGGGTTTGATCAAGACACTGCTGCCACAGTTATGGCCAGACTTGCTATCCATCGGGCTGAGAGATTTTATGCCCGAGATGTTATAAGGTGGCTGGATAATAAGCTGATTAAATTTACTTCCAAGTTCGGAGACTATGTGGCTGAAGACCCATCATCGTTCCGTCTGCCATCCAACTTCTCCCTCTATCCTCAATTTATGTATTATTTAAGGAGATCACAGTTTATTGAAGTCTTTAATAGCAGCCCTGATGAGACTGCCTTTTTCCGGCAGATGCTGAACCGGGAAGGAGTAGTAGGTTCCCTGATTATGATCCAGCCCAAACTTTTACGGTATTCATTTAATGGGCCCCCAGTTCCGGTCCTCCTTGATGTTAGTTCTATCTCACCAGACGTTATTTTGCTTTTCGATTCTTACTTCTATGTGGTCATTCATTATGGCTCGAAGATTGCACAGTGGAGGAAGAAAGGTTTTGACAAGGATCCAAACCATGAAAACCTGAGAAATCTGTTGGAGGTGGCAGAAATTGACGCGAAACAGCTGGTGGCTGAACGCATTCCGGTGCCCAAGCTTATTAAGTGTGACCAATATAGTAGTCAGGCAAGATTTCTGCTTGCTAGGTTGAACCCGTCAGTTACTCAAAATTCCGTTTATAAAGAAAGCTCGGATATCATATTTACAGATGATGTGAGCTTACAATTTTTTATAGATCATTTACAGACCTTGGCCGTACAAGGCTGATGCATAGGTTATTTTTTCGTTTCATAGATTATTTTATAGATCACAGGGAATTCCTTCTCTTTTTTCGTTTCCTTATACAAAGAATATACGAGATCTATAATTATATCTTTCAAAAATTTAGGTCTGCAAATGGTATCCGGTTGTCCAAATTTGAATTCGAATTCAATCTCATTAAGGATGACCAAAATTCAACCCCCATTCATAATTGAATCAAATTTTTGATTCGATCAAATATTGAATCAAAATTCAGCCCTCGCATGGATCGAGTTAGTAATTATTCATTGTAAAAGGTCAAGATTGAGAGTTTCAGAAGATAAATACACTTGTACACAAGATGCTGGATTTTGGAAATTAGCACATACTAGCCAGTAATATATGGAGCGAGTTCAGTCCACTTTTTGACGATGGTGTGACAAATACTAACCATTAATATATGGATTTTAATTTTCTATTTACTTAAATGGGCAAAAAGCATCGAGGATTAGTTGCAACATAAAATGTGAATCGAATTTGGTTCTCTACTTTGGGTCTCATTCTTTTAATCAGCGCATAGCACAAAACCATCATGGATCTCCATTTTGTTCATTTTCATTCTTTAAATAAGTTCTATACTTCATGGTCATGAACTGTCGCCTAGGTCTACAAAACCACCATTATAGACATTTACTGACAGACTGCAATGGAAACTTATGCCGACAGACATTGACTGCTGGTAAACATCTACACCAGTAGTTTTGGAAACCTAGACCGACAGTTTATGACTTGGCATGGAATTTTTTGAAGATTGAAAATGAACACGAGACATTTTACAGTCCGAAAAGAAATCATTTTTTAGGGAAAAAAAAAGAATTCAATCAATGTTTTTTCATTCTGCCCATTCTTGTTCATTTTAGAATTTCATCCTATTTAAGAATGAGAGTTGAACCAAGCATGGCCTTAATTGCAACAGAAATTAACCTTGAGGGTCTTGACAAATGCTGTTAACTGCGTCATGCTGCTTCTTTGTACAAAACAAACTTAGAAAATCCTCCCAATTCTATAAATGCATCATATACTGAAAGTCAGGGATATATCATGCGAAATTCAGTGAACTAAGCTAGTAAAGTATTATTGAAAACCAGGCCCCCACAAATATCACTGAACTGATATTATGCGTATGATCATACCATCAATCTATAGTTGCTTGGGGGAAATTCAACAATGTTTTCCATTATTTCTCCCCCTCAAAATCATGGATAATCCACGAATCCTCAGTCTCTGGTTGAAGGTCTTTACCCACCCCCACCCCCACCCCCAAATTAATGCTTTCTCCTCTTCTCTCAAAACCAGTAAAATGAGTTTATTTTTCTGACAAAAACCAGCATATGTAATGTGGGTAGGGAAGAATTGCTCACTGTTTCTCAAACCTTCAATCTGAAGGCGATATGAGAAGCAAAGATGCCTTGATCTCTCTCAGTTTTCCCTAATATCCAATTCAATAGCATTGTTATTTATCAACTTCAATATTTTTTGCCATTTAAGTAAATAGTACATTAATTAATCATATCATACTGAGAAATTTTGAATTACAACTTTCCTTCGAAATGAAATTAAATAGCAGTTTAAATGCTACAGACATTAAATATAGCATTATCCCTGTCCCTTCAGAAATCACTCGTCTCACATTTCAAAATGCATTGCTATTATTTAGTTTATAAACAAAAATTAGAAAGGAAAAAGATGATCAGGCCCTCCACTAAGAATTTAATCAATCAGAATTCAGACCCATAGCTTTAGAACAAATAACTACTTGGGGGCCAACAAAACAAGCAAGGATATTTCATCTTTCAATCAAAAGGCCATTTGCCTTGCAAATATGCAGGGTAAAAACAAAACAAGAAATATCAGAATTGCAAGATAAATAAATTCCAATATACACTTAAATTCAGATTATACATTTCTCTTTCAAAAATCTTATATAAGTAAGGTTAGAATATGGGTAAATAATGAGAAAATCATGAGAGCAGCAAAAGCCACTTGACATACATGTTACATTGCCAAGGAGAAATTACTTGTGACAAAAAATGAATCACCTTGACTTTCTTTTAAGTCATACAATCAGCTTGGACAACCATAATCAGCTCAAAAATTTCAAGGTTCTCCTATACCCACCATGAAATAGGACCCAAACCATCATAATCAAGTGATCCCTGCCAACAAAATGAAGATTAATGATTTAAAACAGTACTTTTTTATACAAATGTAGTCTTGAGCCAAAACACCATTGAAAAAGCAAAATAATCTCCATTCGTCTCTTAGCATAGTCCACTAAATATAATTTTCTATCTCCCATCCACCTTAGCAATTTGTTGTGCGAGTAAAATTCTAAATTCCTGCTATATCTACATATTGGTAGGTCATTTAGCCAAAAAAATCTAAATGACCGGGAATCCTCCAAGTGGCAACCTAGGGGTCCCCAAGGACTCCCCAAGTCCCCATATTCCATTATAAATTTTATAAATTTCAGAGAAACCCTTTTTATGGGCATCTGTTGAACTAAAAATGAAGGCTCCTCTATCTGATGGACAGCCTGATGAACTAAAAATTGAAGGGTCCCTCTACCTACTTGATCCAGTCGGCACTAGCAAAACCTTCTTCCTCACACACATGTACACAAATAAATCAAATTTAGTTTGATTGGTTATAAACTAAGGAATTTTAAATTGCAGAATTGCTACCTTCATATGTTAATTCAAAGAGAACAACTCAATTACTCCTAAACTACTTGTGAAATAATTCTTCCTTGTAGAGCCTTCAGGTGTGCTGATTAATCCCTATCAGGACAATATCTTTCCAAAAGATTCAATATTACACCAAATACTTAGCTAGATTTCAGCGTCTCTTAGCAGTCACCTTTAATTAACTCAAATTAATGGAACATGGAGCAAGAATCGTTCAGAATATGAGTTGAACTTACAGTGATCACCATAGGAGCAAATGGCTTTGCTTCCTTTTCTTGCTCAATTGGGATTGGAGGATAACTAATACTATGAACTCGGAACCGAATCTGCACTTAATTGCAAAAGCTAAATTTAAATCATTATCCAAAGCCTTGAAGCATTGAACCAGATTAAATGAAGATAAAAGGACTGCCAAAACATAGCAGTGCAAACCTCATCTTTTCCATCTATTGGGTATTGTTCATCTTGGAATTCCCATGACCATACGCCTTGATGCCTGTATCCTCATTACCAGATGAGTATGCTTATATTATTAAAATCAAAGATAATGAAAGGATAAAAATGAAATAATTTTAGCAAAGATCACACTGCAGGATTAATAAAGGCCTAAAAAGCATTAGTTGTAATACAAAATTCTTACTTGTTCTCTGGGTTGGGCATAAGACTGGATGGATTTGGCAGAAGATGGACAGGTATGTGGATGTCATCAAAAAAACTAATAGACACTGCCATAAAAGATTGAATATCAGATCAGAGGTACAGGTATAATAATTAATTCATAATCCCTTCTTATCAGTAATGGGATTGATTCATCACAAGAACATGGAGATTGGTTGATACAAGTCAACAACAAGAATGACATAGCCAATTCAGGATCTTTCAGTGGCATGGAATTTATCTTACATGCTATTTTTAGTTAAAGATCTATTTATTTTGCAAAGAAGGGAAATGCATGTAGAAAAGGTTCTGCACCATAAAGAAAAGGCTCTACCAATTTATTTAGGAAACAATTGAGTTGAATCATCTTGATACCTGTTTAATCCTTGAGTTGAATCAACCTATTTGAACTTGCTCAGAATCCGAGCTCTAGTAATGAACCAAGTCACCAACAAGAGACGAACRCAGATTTTGATTTTCCTATTTTTAGATTGTCATCCAAGATTCTTGTTTACCATGGCCCTGTTCTTCTGCCATTGATTCGAAACCATGATCATCACCATCAAAAGGTGCTCAGATATACATGTCAGTTGTTTCTTCTACATCAGAAAATAAGGTGATGCATCTTCCTCACTATTCTCTTTTTCTGAAGGTTTAACTGAAGCACAAGTTCATCTACTCTTCCTCCATCCATGAAGATTGACATACTTCTCCAGCTTTGGCTAAAGTCATCTATTTTTGTTGTTGGCCTTCTTCTCAGATCAGAGGTAGTTTGTCTTAAGAGAAAGGGGATATAAATTCCTAGTAAGTTGCACTGTCTTTTGTGCCTAAGACAGCATTTTTCTGATTCCTGCTCAAGTGCTCAAAATTTGAGAAGTGCTACACCAACTCCCCCCCCCTCTCTCCTTTTCTTTTTGAAAAGCCATCTCTTTCTATAGATTTTTTATTTCCCAACTCCTTCATGAAATAACATCCCATGCGCCCATGACTCTTCTGAACTGTAACAAGAAGTTTCAATTCTTTGGCATAATCCATGTCATCATTGGATGAAGGATGCTTGCCATCTGCCTTCGCGTATGAAAAATCAAATCAACCATGTTTGATTTGCATGCATAGACAATGAAATTGCTTGAGAGAAGCAATTTATAAAATTGCTTGAGAGAAGCAGCCTTAAAAGTCTTCATCTGCAATGGACAATGAATAGTTTTCGTTCTTTTTTTTTCTTGAGTTCATTGTTCTTGATTGGATAAGTCAGTAAACAAAAAGTTAGAGCCTTTGTCGGACTATTTTCCATGCATTGGGTTATTTAGAAGATTTGTTGAGGATTAATTTTTACAAAATTTGGGTTTTCCACATTGACTGTGTGTTGTATAACTAATTATCAAAGAAAATAAAAGAGTCTAGGAAAACCCATAACTCAACAATCATGTGTTGAAATCCTCAAGTTGTATTTCAGTTTAGGACTTTATAAAGCAAAATTAGCAAACTAGTAGCGGAAGAAAATGAAGAAAAGAAATCTGTATAATGCGATCCTTACTAAGTTATAACTACTATTCATCTTTGTAACTAACTTGTATTCAAATTTTCCATACAGAAGATTGCTAAGTTATAACTACTATTCATCTTTCTGACAAACTTGTATTCAATTTTTCCATACAGAAGATTGCTACACCATCTATCTATCTATCTATATAAGAAGGAAGTCAAGGAATTTTCTCCTTTTTTTGAAATTTTTATATTTTTAATTAATTCCATGTCATTTTTGAAACAACCAATGAGACACTCTCGTTCCCCATAAAAAATCACCTAAACTCTCCCCATACACACACGTTCCCAATAACCTAAATAATCTCCTCTCCTAAAATTTCTCCTAAACTACCTCTCCCACTTTCTTCTAAATTATCTCTAATTCCTATTTATCACCAAAATTATATCTAATTTAGTAGGGAGTTTCTCTCCTAAATTATCTCTAATTCCTATTTATCCTCTCCCCCACTTTTTATCTAAATCTATCTAAAGAAATTTTGGATTAAAAAAATTTAGAATCATTTAAATATTCTAACAAAATTATATAATAACTTTAAAATATTTATTAAAAACATAAAAATAACTCTAATAGATTTAATAGTATTCTATTATTAGTAATTTTTTATTTTTACAAAATTCATCACGAAATTATGTACTAACAATATAAATTATGATTTTCCAGATTATTCAATTTAAATGTTATTCAAATACTAAAGAATTAACAATAAAAATAAACTATTATTTCAATATTTCAATAACTAAATATCTAAAATAACAAAATATTAAAAATAGCTAAATAATTAAATGACAAAATATTTAATATTATGTAATAGCTTTAAAATAAATAAAATTCAAATAACAAAATTTATTAAATATTTTAAATATTTAAATAACGAAATATTTAACATAACTAGATTTTAAATAGTTAAAATAACGAAATTATATAATAAATTTAAAAAATTATTAAAAGTAGAAAAATAATCATAACATAATGTTGAAATTAATAATAATTTGAATATTTCACAAAATTAATAATGAAATTATGTAATAATAGTATAAATTATAATTGTACGGATTATTAAATTCAATAAATAATTAAATAACTAAATAATATTGTAAATAACAAATTTCACTCATATCACTTAATAATTCGAGAAAATAACTTTCAAAAAAAYTAATATYYATTARTAATAATTTTAAACTCTTAATCTATATTTATTATATAATTATATATACTAAAATTAATATTTATTGTATGTCAGTAATTATTTATTTATTTTTGATAAATATATTTTCAATAATTATGTATATAAATTTATTTATGTTTTTATTTAATATAAAATTTTCAATAATTATTGGAGATTAAACTACTATTATTGAACTTTTTAAATTTAATTTATTATACTTATTGTATTTATTGTATTTTTGTTATAATTTGTTGATTAATATTTATTAGAGATTAAACTATTATTTGAGACTATACTACTTATTGACTAATTTAATATATGCTTTAGTATTTATTGTATTTTTATTAGTTATTTATTGTATTTTCATTATCAATATATTTTCAATAATTGTGTATTTTTTGCTATAAATTGTCAAAAATTATTGGACATTAAACTATTGTTATATATTAGAGATTAGACTATTAATTTAGCAGAAATTAGGAATGTTCACGAGTTGGTTCGGTTTAGTTGTAGGCTGTTTGGCCAACCAAATCAACCTGATCAAGTAGGGAGTTGGTAGGGGTGCAAATGGATCAGATTCCGATCCGATCCGATCCTATTTTGTTGGATTCTGATCTCCCCTGATCAGATCTTCGGACTGGATCAAGAAATAGGATCCTATCAGAAATCGTATCAGATTCAGATCACCCCCTATCTGATCCATATATGTGTGTGTATGTGTTATTTATTTATATAAATATATATAACACATATATGTTATTTATTTATTTATTTATAAATATATTATTTATATTGCATTTTTGTAAATTTGTTATATTAATTATTTTGTTATAAAAACATGTATATATATGATGAAAATAGTTGAAAAGATACTTGTACTTTTTGTTTTTCTTTTTTAAATTATTATATTTTATTTTTCTTTTAATAATTTATTGTTTTTTAAGAAATTTAAATTGGATCCGATCAGATCCGAAAATCGGACTTCTTCATTGAATTCGAATTCGAATCCATACTTATGAGATCAGATCATAATCAGATATTCGGATCAGATTCTAATATACCCTAATTTGAATCCGATCCAATCCGTTTGCATCCCTAGGAGTTGGTCACCTAAAATCGACTAACCATTTGTGAAAATCGGCCCACTCAGGTTGTATCAGTTTGGGTTGATTTTTGGTTTTGGTCAATCGGTTCAAAAGATTTAAACTTAAAAACTTAAATTTAAATTTAAAAAATTGCAGTGACATTATTAAAAAATTAAATTTATGATATAAAATATTTTAGACTAAGAAATATGGGAATTTTCTCACTTTCCTGTATTAAAAAAATATATTTAAAATATAAAATTTTAATATATCTATGGTAAGGTCGTTCGATTTTGGTTGGTTTACAAATGGCCAATGTGAAAATGATCCAACCTGGTTGGGTTGGGAAATTATTGAACCAAAGCTGATCGGAAATACTAGAAAACCGACTAACTTGGATCAAGTTGATCGGGTTGGTCAGTTTCATCAATTTGATGAACAACCCTAGCTGAAATTAATTATTGTTATTTTTTTATTGTAAAATGTTATTAAAAGTAGTATATAAAATATAAATAATTATTAATTATTTAAAAAGTTAAAAATATAAAACAATTCTATACTTATCGGTTTAACAAATCTCGTGCATCGCACGGGTCCCTGCTACTAAAATAATAAAAAACAGTAGTGATTCATCAATTTGATGAACAACCCTAGCTGAAATTAATTATTGTTATTTTTTTATTGTAAAATGTTATTAAAAGTAGTATATAAAATATAAATAATTATTAATTATTTAAAAAGTTAAAAATATAAAACAATTCCATACTTATCGGTTTAACAAATCTCGTGCATCGCACGGGTCCCTACTAGTAAAATAATAAAATGCAGTAGTGATTCTCAAGCTAACAAGATTTCTGGTGGTTTGAACAAAAGTAAGTTATAGAAAATTATGTGACAAGATTTATCCAAAAAAAATGTGACATGAGACATCTACAGAGAAAAATAAATCCATTGAGGTTTATATTGCTAAATATCTAACTTGGAGCCAAGGTTCAAAATATCACAATGTATAGGTGTGTATTGTACGATACTCATCAGTTTTTTCTTTTTTTTTGATAAATGAGTAAGCATTTCATTAATCCAGTAAATAAGAGTTACAGGCAACTCAAGGAGAGGCACGAGATGCGACCTTTCCTTTAAGATTGATCACAGCATTACAAAATCAGATGAGCATTATTACAAGGTAGCCCAAAATAAAGAATCCCCAGAGACCCCATGTTTGGCAAGTGAATCAAACATCAAGTTTGCTGATCTGCCTACCAACTGGACTCTAACTGTCAGATTTCGTGTCAGCCATTTGACATTTAAGAAGATTTCTATAGCCCCAAATCACAAAGTCAGCAACCATCCCACCACCACCTGAGAGTCCCCTTCAATAAGCAAACGCTCTATACCTAGCTGGTTTGCGAGCTGGATTCCTTGTACAGCAGCAAGCAGTTCAGCCCTTATGGAATCTCACAGGCCCACAACCTGAATATAAGGATATGATAATGCTATCTTTATTTCTCAGAATTCCTCTATACCCAAAGGTCCAGAGTTACCTCTGTTACTCCCATCAAAATTCAGCTTAAAAAACTCCTCCCCAGATGGCATCCATTGTACCAAAAATCTATTCTACCTAGTAGAAGTATTAGCCACTGCTAACCAACTCCTCCAAAGGTCATGAAAGGAATAGCTATCAAACAGGTTTAAAGTTTTCAGCCACTGAATTTCCCTTGTCAAAACACAGTCCTTAATGTCTGATATGCTTCTGTTTTTTTTTTTTTTTTTTTTTTGATCAATAACACAATTCATTAATTATCACAATAATTATAGGGAGGAAGACAACCTTTCTTATCTTCCAACTACATTATGAGCCCCAAGAGAAGAAACAAGAGAGAAAAAGAGAGCAGGAGAAGAAAAAATTAAATTACATCTGTGCCCAAAACATGACTTCCCTGTCCACCCCTTGTTTAGCTAACCCATCAGCAAAAAACTTAGCTGATCTTTTCACCCAAACAATTTTAACTTCCATTTCTCAAACCAGCCATCTGAATTTCCTCTTCAAATTACTATAACTCCATAAACCATTCTCTTCTTTGTTCAGCCACCCAACCACCACCTCCGAGTCCCCTTCAATTATGAGTTTTCTGATATTCATCTCCCTAGCTTTCTGGACACCTTCCATAACTGCGTGGATCTCCGCTCTGAGAGAACCACCCACCCCAGTTGGGCCTGAGAACACGGTAGAAACAACCCCATTCTCATCCCTGAAGACATCCCCAATCCCTGATTGACCAGGGTTCCCTATGCTACTTCCATCAAAGTTTAGCTTTATGAAGCCCGCAGGTGGGGGAGTCCAAAACACACACACCCCAACTTTAGTCTGGGTAGAGCTAGCAATCTCACCCCACTTCCTCAGCATATCATCCACTGTATATTCTTTGAAAAGCTCTAGGGACTCCATCCACTGAATAACACTTATGTGTATCAGGGCCCTCAACGCTTCAGAACCAATCTCTACATCAGAGAAGATTCTAGAATTTCTTTCTTCCCACAACCCTCTCCACATAGTCCTTCCCCTCTTCGTACGCCACCTGAAAAAAGAAGGATCAAAAAGGCCCTGCAAAAATTTGAAGGAGTCCAGGTACACCCAAAAAGAGAGCAAGCCCAATGCCAAATAGACTTTGCAAAATGGCAAGACACCAGAAGATGAAAGTCGGTCTCCCCATCAGCATTACAAAGAACACACCAATGAGGGGACAAACAAGTATTGGGTCTCTTCTTGTGGAGCAGATCACTCGTATTGATTCTTTCCAAAAAGGCTTCCCAACAAAAACTACCAACCTTAGGAGGAATTGGCATGCACCAAACCTCATTAACAGGGAAGGGGGGGTTACAGGATTGGTGAGCTGGCTTAGTACTTTAAAGAAAGAGGCACAAGAGAAAGAACCAACAGGGGTGGGGGTCCAGATTCTAGAGTCATCCTTAAAAGGGTCCAAGAAAACATTATCAAGAAGAGAGAGGAGCCTTAAAATACTGTCTAGGTCTGAGTCTCTCACAGCCCTTYTCAGGCCCAGATTCCAACCAAACCCAGAGATGGAAGAGGATGGGGTCAAAAAAGAGGAATCTGACTCATTTTTAAAACCAGAAAGTGCATACAAATAAGGAAACTGGTCCTTAAGGGGTGCATTCCCCACCCACGTTCATTCCCAGCATCCCATCTGTTCAGCTATAGCCCATGTATGCTTACCACTATTTTGGCCCATAGTTTATCCTTCTCTAGTTTGAATCTCCACAACCATTTCCCCAAGAGTGCCAAATTTCTTTCTCTAATATTCCCAAGCCCTAGCCCACCATTGTTTGGATCCCCTCACTTCTGATTTAAGAAATTTGGCACTCTTGGGGATTCAAACTAAATCCCTGTATTCAATCCTTTGAGTCTGTTTCCAATTCTGTGTTTAAACACTGAGACTTTAAAGTTAGAGAGAGAATATATATATATATATATATATATATATATAGTACCAGCCCTTTGAATTGCATTGCATATCACATGCATAGATACTTCAAACCATTCTTGGATCACTCACTAGAAGGCCCAACTGTTGGTTGGTTGGTCCTTCAATTTAAAATTTGTCTTCAACAATGACCAAAGACTTCTGAATTAGATATGTATCTCACTATCTCTGTTCAGTTAAGTATGACAATATGATGTTTTCTGGGAATGCCCAAGGTTTTCCTAATTAGCCTTAGGCATACACAAATACTACATCCAGATAGTAAACATGGATACAGCCCCATCAATAATGAGACAATTCTCAATTGTAACTCAAGATAAGAATTTATAGAATGGGGATAAAAACTTGAGTATTTCAACTGGTTATTGCACTAGCTTACTAGTTTGAACAGCAAGTCAGTGATCTAACAAACTAATTACTGCTAAAACACAGAATTCATTTTTAGTGGTGGTGTAGATGCCAGACTAAAGAGTAGGGATGATCATTCCCAGACCTGGCCCAGCCTGCACCCTGGACCTTAAATATAGGCCTGGGCCTGGCCCTATATGAGCCTGGGCTTTCTGAGCATACATAGTTACATAATACATACATAGGCCTACACCCATAAATTTGCATACCGAGAGAGGAATGATAATCTCTTCTAAAGACGGAAAGAATTGGATTAACATGCAAGTCATAGTTCAAGTACAACAATTCTAGGCCAATACAGAATAGTAAACAACATCTGAATAAACCAATTAAGCAATGAAGAGTTCAGTTTCTGAGAAACTGTAACCATAAAATCTAGTCAAGGAAGATCAGTTCAAGAGACTCAATCAGAACACAGATCATGGTTCTTCTTCATGTACTAAAGATGATTTTTTTTATCTTAGGGTTTCACCAAGGTGGAAATTGAAGGTGACTCATAGGTATTGGCTTGATAAGGAAGGGAATTAAGGAGTCAGGGCATTTGTGAAATTTTACTAGGGAAGCAAGATTGGCTTCCTGAGTGAACCCAGATCAGTTAAAGTTGCCTGTTAGTGTGATTAGTGAGGCTTCAAGAGATGTAAAACTTTTGGGGGCTTAACTCTAGCAGGATAGTCTTCKGGGCCAATACCAGTATTGGTTCTTGTTCATTGCCAGGACTTTCTTTTCAGGTACTTTATCACTCTGAATGTAACTCATCCTTGCATATCAATATAAATATATAAAGACATAAAGACATACATTAATACATATGTGTATATGCATACATCTACACCTACATAAGTACATAAGCACACGTGTGTGGGCCCAGGAGTGTGTGTCTGCCAGTCAGGTTGTTTAGTAAGCCTCCCTGAATGACCCACTAATCTTCTACGTGGCAATCTAATTGGAAGCCCAAAAAGGGTCTGACATGTTTGTCTTGCTGGACTAGATTCATGGGGCAAATTTCAGCCTCAAAGTATTTGCCACAAGTCAATAATAAGTTTCTGGTCAAGCTTACAATAAATAGTTGCAAATCCAAACTGCTAATATTTGTTTGGGAAACCACCAATACAAGGTAGAATATAGGGCTGCTGTGACCTGGAGGGTTGAACACTTGGCCAATCCAAAGGATCCTTCACATTCTGGACTGTTTGAATATGTCATCTCATCCCTCCACATGGGAAAAATAGGGTAAGTTGTGTAGAGAAGTACCTACTTAATCAATTTTTTATTAATAAAGAAGAAATCAATAAGCTGATACAGAAACAAATATAAAGAATATCAATTAAACCACCTACACTTTAAACCATTGGCATCAGATGATTTTAACTTTCCAACAATAATCTCTCCCACAAATGGCCGAAACATAACCAATCTGAATTGTACCTGCCAGGATATAATGGCATGGTGAGTCAACTGGAAAGGGAACAAAATTAAGCAAAATATTAATTGTTTCTTGATTCTATTAGGGGAAAAAGAGAGATCATATCCTTTTCTAAACAAGTACAGTAATACCCTTCTAATAATGAATAAGAAACCCCCTATTTGTCAATTTTTCATGCAAACTTGAATTCTACCACAAAGAGTATTGCAATAAAACTACAACAGAAGAATTATTATCCTTGTCAACTAATGAAAGATTCTTAGAAAATGCATGAGCATGAAGCGTGTGATACCTCATCATATTAATATGAGCGATTTCATTTTTCAGAAATAAAGCAATTCTCTTCACTCAAGTTCTGAAATCAACAAAAAAATAAAGGTTGCAATGAAAAATTACTTAAAGATCCTCAAGAACTTTATTTATAAAAAAAAAAAAAAAAAATCCTCAAGAACTTTGTTCTCTTGATTCTTATCATGGCCTTGTTTGTGTCTCAGTAAATAACTAACCTGGGTAAATGCACTTATCCAAGTAAGTGTTTCTTGGGAAACACTTAACCAGATAAGAGCACTTACCAGTGTTCTTTTATTCCCCAGGTAAAGGTGTACAATGACTGATTTATCCAAAAAAGTGATATTATTGAAGGGACAATATTGTCCCATCATGTTTTAGTAATTTTCAGTGTGCATGGGTAAGTAATTTACCCAAGTCTGAGGAGATTATTACTTCCCCAGGTAAATGAGACACTTGGGAATAATTCTTTTTCGTGGGACCCATTAATACCAGAAAGCGAACACAGGTTTCTTTCTTTTATGTGGGACCTACCAACTTACCCACCCCCACTTTCCAGAAAATGAACGAAGCTCATATGTCAAATAAATACAGACTATTCTCAATATCATTATAAGTCCTATCAGCATTGTCCTAACTATCTATGATCTGCTACATGATGCACCATTTCTGCTCCATAGAGCACTTATCTGCTACCGGATTGCTGATTTTTACCTATTAACTGAAGCGATGTCCTTTCTGGACTTCACCTCGTAAGTATGTCCCCTTAGAGTGCCCATTTTGCACCTTCCCATTGGTGCAACCATTGGTCTGCATTAACAAGTCCAGACATCCTTGGAAAACTCTACCTTTCACCAAATGGACCTAACCCCAAATTCTTCTGGTTCAGCAGAGTGTAGGTGGGTAAATGTTAAGAGTGGGCTAAATAGGCGGTTCAAATATTTTAAATGCTAACAGATATAGAAAATGAGGAAGCCATCTTCACATCATTAACACATTTGAGAGGCATCAGAGGAAACAGAAATCCCAGTGTCTATCCCCCTACCCAATGTGTGCATTCTGTCTCAAAAGTAGAGAAGGCTTTATTGGCAGAGAAATCTTTATTCCATTTTTCCACATGTTTAATTTTGGAAGCCGTGTGTACCTATAAAGACATCAAATGACTTTTGTAAATATTTGGAGTTTCGAGGAAGGAATACGATAAGTGCCTCTTTGAAGATAAGATGTTGCCGTTCATGGTAATTATAAAGTAGAGGAGCAGATTTTTTATCCTAGATATTTAAAGAATTTAAAGGTTCTAATTTGACAACTTTAAGAGAGATAGATGTCTATTATAATATTCGATCYGTCTTTGACATATAAACTGTAGATTTCTTTATATGTGTTTTAACCTATGAGCATTTAATTGCATAAATGAGCTCTTCTCCCCTTTACTTGTTTAATGCACTTTTCCTTATAGAATAAAGGATATCTTATTTCCTTTTAATTAAATTTTATTTTATCATAAAAAAGGATCTTGCACATGTTGTTCTCTTATCCTCTTATGTTGTCAAATTGTGTATGCATTCCCATAAATTAAGATACTGCATATCCGCTTAATGCCAAAAAGATGTCATTGCTTTAGGATTGTAAAGTGCAAATAGCCAAAATGACCTTAGTTTATATATTAGAATAAACTTACAATGATGCCAATGATTAATGCTATTTGTCATTTGCAAATTGCAATATAAAAAGAACAAAAGCAGGTTGCTTTCCTTGCATCAGGGGAATTCATGAAAACAATATAATAATGTATGAAAAAGCATCAGCACAAATTTAATAGGTATAGAGGTTTTCGAAAAAGGTGTTGGGCATAGTGTATTCATGGTTGGAAAGCCACTCTTTGTTCAGAAACAGACACACTAATACTTAATTTTGATTGGGATTATCTTTTTGTAAGGTCATAGAAAGATCTATTTGATGTACTTGGTTATTTGTAAAGGGTCAGATATGTCTTATCCTTGTACAGAATTCTCATTGTAAATGAGCTATCATTGTGCTTTTTTGGATATAAAAATGAAATACTTTACCTTACAGTTTCAAAAAAAAAAATACCAAATATAGAGGCATAGATGCAAAATGTCCAACATGCCACTGTAACTCGCATGTGCTAATTGAACAAAAGCTAGCATTCTAAGCATATTGAGGAAAGGAAAGTAAGAAGATTATTTTAATGAGGAAGATAAACAAATAAGATGTCCTTTACTAGATATTCAAGAAACCACCAAAAAAAGCCATTATGTCAAGAATGTTCCAATGATAGAACTACAAGAAGAAACAAAAGAAACAATATTGAAAGGGAACATTATAGATAGACAAGCACCGTATAGGTTGAAGCACCATCTCCAGGATAGATGAAGCCATCTTTAATATCTCTAATGTCATAAATGGAGATGCAAAGCCCCAAATTCGGGATAACCTTCACCAAAACATATGATGCAAGTTGTTAAATGTTGCATTGTTGCTCATAACTTCAAAATTCAAATAATGGAAATTTCAAGAACAAGATGAAAAATAGAAGTCAAGAAAGAAATTTGACAAACCTTATCCAAGAAAAGTGTCTCAAGTTCTCCCTTAATTGCCTCATCCAAAGGAAGGTTAAGTAGATGAGGGGGCAAACACAAAGTATGCTCAATCAAGCTAAGGAAGAACATCTAGCCTTCTCCAAATTAAAATTTCAAACTGAGTGTGTTAAGCACCAAATAGCTTGTGACATAGGTAAATGTTTATACCCTCCCCCAAACCAAAAAAAAAATAAAACATATTAGTAATCCTTTTAAAGAAAATATGATGATGTAGATCCATCCCCTAAAAATACCAATAGATGAAAATAAAAACTGAAATCAAATAGCACTTATTTCCAATTTCCAAAGACAAAGAGTTTGCAAATATTTGGATTTTGAATTATACAACACTAGGATTTACTCAGCTTGAAGAAATATTAAACAAACAAAATTTTAGAATAATAAGATAACAATTAAAAATATGAATTTATCAACTCAATTAAAGGTCATTCAAAAGGTCCATGTTCTTGCTAGGTTTCAACTTTTTGTTGGAGGTAGATGAAAACAAACATCTATGACATGCATTAAACAAAACAAGAAGAATCAAAGGTGCATTTCTCCCCACACTTGCATTTTCTGCCTCTTTAACAAGGAAATTATGAATCACCTAATTCATTGATTGCAAGTTTACTTGGTGACACATGGTACGTATTATAAAAATAAACTCATTGAACCTGTTTTCTCAGATGAAGATGGACCGGAGTCTGGTTAAATTATAGTTCTTTTTTTTTTTGATAATTTCTGGGTTCATTATAGTTGCATATATTGGTTATAATGAGACAATCTGGGAATAAATACTCTTAAGAGTAGAACTCCACCATTTTTTTTCAAAATAAAGCATTTCAAAATCAAACATATCTCAGATTTTCAATTCAGCAATCATCATACAACAAATTCAAAATAAAACATTTCAAAAAAAAAAAAACAAAAGAATGGACTCAAGGACTCAAAGGGGGCGGACGACTGGTGAAACACTTGGACAGTTGGACTCATGACCTCATGCGGCGGGCGGAATGGAGAGAGGACTGAGTTGACTGGCTACTGAGAGGACAGAAGAGTATAGGGGCGGAACCCCTGTTTTTGACTTTTTCAAAAGAAAAAAAAAAAGAAAAGAAAAGAAAAGGAGGTTTGGCGGAAGAAGAAGAAGAAGACTGCGGCTGTGGACTGTTTTTTCGAAAAAAAAAATGAAAAAAAATTGAAGAAGAAGAAAACTGAAGAAAGAAACTTACCTGCCGCTGCCGGAGCTGAGGTGCGATGGAGGTGGGCTGGGGGCTCGAGCTGGTGTTCGGTTCTCCTCCCTCTCCAATCGAAACTTAACTTTTTTTCTTGTCTTAGTACTTAAGAGTTTAGATAGATAAATTTTAAAGGGTAAATTACAAAGACCCCCCGTACTATGGGGTCTGTGACAAAGATCCCTGTACTTTGTTTTGCGACAAAAACCCTCTGTACTATGTTTATAGGACAAAAACCCCTTCCCATTGGCTTTCCGTTGAAATCCACCATTACAATATATTTTAATCTTCATACTACCCTTATAACCGCATCTGTATTTTTCCTACAGCTGCTGTGTTTTTCCTCATTAACCGCATCTGTATTTTCCTCTGTATCAGATCCGGTTTTGTCCTTGACATGTTTCCAGGAGCGGGAACCCAACTTCGTCCTTAGCATCAGATCACTTTTGAACCTTGAATTAATGAAGAACGGCTGTCTTGCCGCTAAGTGACGAACAAGGTAGGGTGGGCCTCGCTATAATAAATCTGTCCATTTGAGAAGTCAAATTTTGAATAGCGATCTTTTCCTTGAAACCTTTAGCGATGTCCTCACCGAGGTGTGAATCTTCTTCTCTAATCTTCAGCACTTGATGATGAATGATACATTTCCAATTTGCCACCGGTTTGAGGGACATCACATTCTCCGGCGATTCCTTGCTCCGTTGATAACTTCAAGACTCGTAGAATCAACCTTTGTCAGAACCGACCCTTCTGTATCCATGTCGATAACCAAGCTTCCAAGATTGCTGACATTCTGCAGAACACGACGAGAGCACTGGTCTCTGGATTCTTTCGCAGGCTCTGCTTTCATTTTTTACCTAAGCCAAAGAACCAAGATTAGGGATTCTGCCTCTCAATCTGCAACTCCTCAGCTGCGTTGCTGTGGACGAAGCAAGGAGATTGTTGACACTCTGTAGAACACAAGGAGAGCACTGGTCTCCAGATTCTTTCGCAGGCTCTGCTTTCATTTTTTTTACCTAAGCCGAAGAACCAAGAATAGGGATTCTTTCTCTCAATCTGCAACTCCTCAGCTRCGTAGCTGTGGACGAAGCAAGGAGATTGTTGACATTCTGCAGAACACGATGAGAGCACTGGTCTGTGGGAAGTAGCAGAAATGTCAAGGACAAAACCTTGGGAAGCATTGTCATCGAAAAGGAAAACGAATGTTCAAATTTACATTTCTCCACCCAGCCCAGTTCGTCTCCATTTCTCCACCTAGGGCGCAACTGGACTGTTTACATTTCTGCAGGGCGCAACATGGGAAGCATTGTCATCATGTTGAATCAGTTCCGTTGAGAGCACTGGTCTGTTTACATTTCTCCACCCAGCCCAGTTCGTCTCCATCATCTTCGCCCATTCTTCCATCAGTCCAGCGGACAATAGAACATGACTCTATAGAATCTGCTACATTTGGGTTTTGGGTTTTGAAGCATTCCTACAAGAGTGTTTTTCTCTCAATTGTCAAGGGTAGTATGGGAATTGCAACAGCAGATTTCAAGAAAAGCTAAGGGAAGGGGTTTTTGTCTCACGGTCATAGTACAGGGGTCTTTGTCAGAAAACAAAATACAGGGGTCTTTGTCCCAGATCCCATAGTACAGGGGATCCTTGTAATTTACCCAATTTTAAAACAACACACCTATCAATAAAATTTCAAAACAATAAATTAAATAAATAATAATAATTTTATTATATGTAAAACTTGGGGCGACTAGGCGAAGCGACCATGAAAAATGGCCTAGTGACCTTGACAACTATGAGTGAGAGGCAAACAGGTAAGAAACATGTTAGGATTTAATCAATTTTGTGTAGATTTAGCACTAATTTTTTTTATGTTAATTGCTAGATAGGAAGTGGGGACCATAGCATTTAGTTAGGTCCTATGGTGATTGTTTCTTAAGTCTTTTATGTGTTTTTAGATGCTTGCCACCCTATAAGGGCATATTAGTCATTGTATTATGCTTTATATTTTTAATATAAATACTAGTGAAGGGGGTGGCCAGAATTAAGCTCTCTTTTCTTTCTCAAATATCTTCCTCTTCTTCTTCTTCTCTCTCTTCTCTTCTTCAAGAAAATATCTTTTCTTTTATAGATTTTTTTTTTTTAATTCAACAAATTTCTAGTTAGTATCAGAGCAAGGCTAGGATTTCTTAGAGTTCTCCCATGCAATCATAAATCAGTCGATTGCATGAGGAGATAAAGGGCTGATCGATCTACTTCAGACTACCTAGTTCTTGGATTTTTTTTGTGGATTTCAGTCATCAAGAAGGTGATCTAGGTTTTGGCATCAAAATCAAGAAGAATTGGACTCTTCATTCTTGGTCTGATCTTGGGTGCTTGGACCTTGTTGGACTTCTCTAAGTTTTTTAGAGTGGGTGGTTAGGTTTCTAGACAGTTTTAAGCCTTCTAAAGTGATCAATTCGCTCTTCTCTCCAATAGGAGACGGTGGAAGAAAGGGTTTTTCTCTCCGGATAAGGTTTTCTCCTTCCAAAAAGGTCAGCTGCCCTTGTGAGTAAGATCGATCTGATCTCAGAAGCTTTCTACATAGCGTTTTGTTGATTTTGAACCATTTGAAGCTGAGATGGAGGGTTGGAGTGCTGAAYAGAATTCCACTGGTAACATGGGTCCAGGTGTTGGAGGTACGAGTGATATATTTAGGTCCGGAATTATTACCACAGTTAAATTAGATAGAACAAATTATTTAGAATGGGCACAATCAGCCAAGATGGCCATTGGTGCCTTTGGAAAACTAGAGTACATCAATGGGAAGGAAAAGAAACTTGATATAGATTCTCCCCGGTGGGTATAGGAGAATTACATGGTGATRTCCTGGCTGCGTAATTCTATGTTACCCCACATTGGCAAAAATTTTCTATGGACCAATACTGCAAAAGAGATTTGGGATGGAGTGACTGAAACCTATTCTCATAAGTAGAATGTAGCCTGAGCCTATCAGTTAAGGAATCATGTTATTAGTATAAAACAGGGAGATAAACCTCTTGCCATGTATTTCTCCATGCTAAAAACCCTTTTACAGGAAATAAATCACTTAGAAACTGTGTGTGTGAGAAAGTGTAAATGATGCAACAACCTATCAGAAGTTGGTAGAGAAAAATAGGGTTCTTGGGTTCTTGGTCAAGCTAAACCCTGAATTCGACATTTCTAGGCAACATATCCTTTCTAGAGAAAGTATGACACTTTCTCAAGCCTATGCCTTTGTTTTTGGAGAGGAGAGCAAGAAGAATGTTATGTTGAGACAGTATGAGATTGATCAGTCTGCTATGGTTAGTACAACCAGACCGAAGCCAAATGGAGACAATGGGAGCAATGAGACTAGGAGGGATGACAAGAAAGACTTGGTGTATGGTTATTATAAGAAAACTAAGCATACCAAAGACACTTGCTGGAAGTTCTATCCACACCTCATACCAACACAGGTCAAGAACAAGAAGGGAAATGCAAATGTTACAATTACAAAAGACTCTTCGGAACCCTTTACCCAAACTAATTGGGAGACCATTGCAGTAGCAGCAATCAAAACCAAATTAGAGAAGTTTGGATAGCTTATGAGTAAGAAGGATACAACCAGTTCTTGTTCTTCAGATTGACAGCAAAGTGTAGGATCCAACCACACCACCTCTTTTGCTCATACAAGTAGTTCATATGCAACTGCAAATTATGCATCCACCTTACGTAAGAAGGGACCTTCCTCCTTAATAATTATGCTTTGCAAGATCTAAAGTCAAAGAGAGCAATTGGGAGTGGTCGTGAGGTGAATGGAGTCTACCTTTTGGACAAGATACCGAGACATCAGAGCCACCATGTTAGTAGCAGCAGTAGTAGTGTATCAAAGTCAATGAGTTAGATTATGCTCTAGCATAATCGGTTGGGTCATATTTCTTTTAGTTCATTAAAGTGTTTGTTTCTAATGTTGTTTAAGTCTGTTTAGTTATCTACTTTGGAGAGCGAGAGTTTTCGGTTGGGAAAGCATTGTAGACATTCCTTTAAACCAAGTAATAAAAGAAGTGCTTTTGCTTTTGATGTTGTTCACACTGATGTATGAGGACCATACTATATTCCTTTTATGGGTGTTTACCGTTATTTCCTCTTGTTTGTGGATGATTACACACAGTATTCTAAAACATATTTGATGAGATCCCGTAATAAGGTACCTAATTTGGTACGATAGTTCCACCAGATGGTTCTCACACAATTTGGAGTGAGAACTAAGGTCTTCAAATCAGATAATGCCAGAGAATACTTTAAGAAGGATTTGACCACATACTTTGGTGTAATTCATTAGAGTAGTTGTGCATATATACCGCAATAGAATGGAGTAGCAGAGAGGAAAATTAAACACATTGTGGAGGTGACAAGAAGTCTTATGGTGTATGCTTCAGTTCCTATTTGTTTCTGGGGGGATGTAGTTCTTACAATAGTGCATTTGATTAACTGTGTCCATTCGCATACTTTAGGGTTTAAGATGCCATTCAATCTTCTTTTTCTAGATGGGGAGATGTTTCATATACCTTTGAAGGTTTTTGGGTGTGTTTCCTTTGTTCACATTCTTGGCCCCCATCGTAAGAAATTAGATCCTAAGGCTAAGAAATGTGTTTTCCTTGGGTGTACTCAAAACCAAAAGGGGTATCATTGTTATGATCCTATGTCGAGGAATAGATTTGTCATTATGGATGCTATCTTTTTTTAGTCTACATTCTTTTTCTTTGGAGGTTCTCCTCAGGGGGAGAATCTTGGGGAGGAAAACTCACAGTCTGTTCCTTTTCCTATTTCTTTTATGCCACTTCTTCCTGTTTCTTTTGTGCCATCAGTTTTACCATCAGCACCTCCATCAAATCCATACCTAATCCACTACGGCAGCCACGCAACACTATCAACATTGCCAGAAGAGGGTTGACTCCACACATGCTCAATCAATAGAACCCACACCACTCTACACCAGTCCTTTTAGGGCTCCATATTCGGTAGATACAATTCCAGGTATTTCCCTTGAGCTTGAGCCTGCTATTTTTTTTATGATAATGTTCCTATACCTAACACTATTGTTGCAACCGATCCCATTAACCTTGATCTTTCCATTGCACTTTGCAAAGGGAAGAGAAAGTGTACTGCCCATTGCATTTCACACCATCTTTCCAATAAATCCTTATCATCCTCCTACCGATTTTTTCTTTCTTCCCTAGATTTTGTGTCTATACCCAGAAATGTTATTGAGGTTTTTTCCAAACTTGAGTGGAAAATAGCTATGCAAGAAGATATGGAAACCGTGGTTAAAAACCACACTTGGGAGATAGTTGATCTTCCTTCAGACAAGGAGACAATCGGATGTAGATTAGTGTTCACTATGAAGTACAGGGCAGATGGTAGCAATGTCTTAAAACACGGAAGCATGACGCGAAGCGTTCAACTACCTAAAGGCGTGAGGCATAGTTCAGAATGCAAGAGGTGTAAGCCGTCTTGAGCAAAGGAGGGTTAAGAGGAGGATGAAGAAGGGGGATCTCATTTTTTCTTTATTTTTAATAAAAAATCTTTTATACTAAGAAGAATAAAGATGCATAACATTAGTTGAAAAGGGGGGTTTTGTCGAAAAGGGCAGGGGGCAAACCACTTTCTTTCTCCTTATCTTTTCTTTCCTTCCCTTCCCTTTCCTTTTCTTTCCTTTTCTCTAGTTTTCTTCTTTCTTTTTCTTTTCTTTTCCTTTTTTTCTGTTTTCTTTTTTTTTTCTACCTTTTTATATCATATGTGCATGAGGCGGATGAGGCGTACGCCTCTAGCACGCCTCATGAAAAAAGTGGAAGAGGCATACACTTTTGGTACCTGAGGCGTACACCTCAAAGGTGTCAGCACCTCTAGCGTACACCTCAGGGTGTTTTGGGAGTGCCTCGCTTGGATGTGCACCTCCAGGCGTACGCCTTTTAAAACACTAGATGATAGTATAGAAAGGTATAACTGTACAAGGCAAGGTTGGTTGCAAAAGAGTATAAATAGACATATGGCATTGATTATCTGAAGACCTTTGCATCGATTGCTAAGATGAGTTTAGTTCGAATCCTCTTGTCTCTAGCAGCCACTTATTCATGGCCCCTATTTCAACTTGATGTTAAAAATGCATTTCTCAATGGTGATTTGCATGAGGAGATATATATGAACATCCTGGCTGAGTTTTATGAAAATGTTGGTAAAGGAAAGGTTTGTAAGCTAAAAAATCATTGTATGGCCTGAAACAGTCACCTAAGGCATGGTTTGACAAGTTCAGATGGGCACTTATCTGCTTTGGGTTCACATAAACACAACCTTACCACACTCTCTTTATGAAAAGGAGATATGCACTTGTGTCAATTATGATTGTGTATGTAAATGATATAATAGTTACAGGAAGATCTGAAG